CAATTCCAAGAATAGCGAGCGCAGGTGGACGGTGATTACTTACGACCATCAAATGAAAAGTTGCAATTGGAGAATGATTATTTTGATAATAAAATTGAATAATTTGTGAACTTTATGCTTGAGTATGTCTTTGCATGATGAAATTGTAAACATTGCAATGAAAAAAAACACACCTTGGCATATTAAAAAAAGGGCGAAACGACATTTAGAAATCATATCATCCCTATTGGAAAACTCGGTATTATGAACCTTATTAACAATAATTTTATAGATGGATTTTTATGTTAGCAGGTTCAAATAAGCAGTCTACAACATTTGTAGTATCAGAACCGATTGTCGTGGCAATGAGGCGGCAACGGTCGCTCCGAGACCATCGATTATGATTTATGCTATAATAATATTATGACCACGTGTAACTCTTGTAATAAACAAATTTAATGACTTCAATACAAAATTATAAATATATGTAGTATATAGTAYCTATAACATTTTAATGAATGTGTTTCACAACAACAACAATATTTATGTCACTAAAGAATACACGAAGCCAACGAATGCTGTTCACATACTTGGCTAGGTGTGTGTCATTCGCCTAAATTAATGCCAWAATTTGAAAAATTGCATTGCCGAAAATATCTCTAAAAAGAAACTATTGCATATATTTTGTTATACATATTCATTATTTTTCATTATAATATAAACTTTTTGCAGTCACTAAAACCGACGATCACGTTAAGGTCTATGATGACGTACCAAACTCAGCCGTTGAATTACAAGTCAAAGATAAGGTAAGTGATTTGAATACCTACATTAAAAATTAAGAGCTTAAAAGCTTATCAGAGCAGTTAAGATTTGTTGATTTTTAGAAAATTCTAAGACCAATTTTGCTTGAAAAATGGTATTATTAATTTATCGCWCTTAAGTTAAACATTTGCTGCTTTGACACCTGTGATAAATAAAATTTTATATTTCGTCGCCAATTTGTTGAAAGCAAGTCTCCCAAAGTTTTGATTTTTTAGAAAATATTGCATTATTAAATATTATAATTGAAATGCCGCACTTCCAAATGATACCATTATTTGATGATCACTTTAGGATACATACAATTGTGGGCTACGAAAAAAAAAATGTTGGAAAATACAACATATTTGGTAAATATGACGCAGCGCTGCTTCTTTAACTTTTTTATTCCGTCTGGAAAATATTTTTATACAAAYATGCCGAATAAATTGCCTAACTGGAGCACTGTTTGGCTGATTTTTCCCTTCTCTGGTAGTCGATGTAGATCATACGTTGGGAATGCCAGAAGACCGTTCTTTAGTTTTCGGCAGATCCTAGTTTTCTAGTGTGTACCAGTGGTTCCACGTTTTATCTCGCAGACCTTCAATCGTTGGGCTGCCTGCCAATACGAAATCGTGTGCTTTTGTCATTTTATCCTCGTGTGACTGGCGTTTACGAGACACTTAGATGTGACTACGCAAAAACCGAGGTGCCATCGAAGGAAAAGAGTCAACATATACATTACATGTGATCAAATTTAACACGTATGTTAATACAAATGTTGTAGTTGTTATAGCGACAGAAAATGTTCCTGAAGTAATTCGAAGAATGGTGCAGTGATGACAGTCCTTAGCCGAATAAAAATCTGGGTCCGTTCCGGTTACTTAGACTGTCGTTAGAGTCTTTTTTATCGCCTTCAAAATATGTTCCTGAGCCAATACAAGCATACCAATGCTTAATCCAATTTTCCAAACATCTGTTATAAGCCTAGTCTGTAATAGCTCTCCGCGCCCTCAGCTTTTTTTGGTTTCTGCTCATTTTTGTATCACCATTCACTACATTGTTGAACAGTGTCGATGGCATATTAAAACTCACGTCCTGCCATCAGTAGTAGTACGTTTGATGAATGTGGGGTTCTCAGCTACGCTTTCAAGTATCTCTTTTGTGCCTTTACGCAAAGTCAAACGTTGCAAAAGATTCAAGACTTTCTGCTGTTATCACAACAATAATTGTTCTTGTGTTCGTGATAAAGTAGACTCCTAAAACACTTCTGCAATATTTTCAACAATTTCGTGCAGTTATACGAAAGTTTTTCGAATTCACAGCGCGATTTCCCTTTCAAAAACATGAATCGAATCACGGTTATATTTCTATTTTTTTTTTGTTTTCATTATTTTCAGAAGTAAAAAAGTCAAATATGAATTTTCTGTACTAATTCTACTTAAAACATCCTTTGCAGTCTTTTTTTTTTATATTCAGCGCTTTATGTATTTCTTCTTCTTTTACTCAAAAATATAGTTTTTGCGTAAGCTGAACCGACAGGAGCGTGTGGTTGAAGAAGTGAAATTGGTTTTGAAGCCACGTTTCAATAAGAAACAGATCACTAAAGATGACTACAAGGAGATTATGCGGCGAGCTGTGCCAAAGGTTTGTTGAAGTTAATGAAAATACACAAATTTACCGTTTTATTCATTAACAATCTTTTTAATTGCAACGCATGCGTAGATTTGTCACAGTCGTTCGGGCGAAATTAATCCTCATAAGATCAAGAATCTGATTGATGCCTATGTGAGGAAATTCCGTGCAAAGCATAAGAAGTTGAATCTCCTCAATACGGGGCAAGTCAGCAGCGCGGTGAAGTGCGCCGCCTATTTGAAGAAGCTATAAAGAGAAGCAGCGCGTAAACTTATAAGCGGAAGTTGGGTATGCACACACACATACACATACATGTAAATATTAGGTTGTCAAAAAAGTCTTGCGGTATTTTCGCTAGTTTACGCTGAGAGCGCGTAGACGTTGCACCGGGTCATGCCAAACCTTTTTGGAAAGCTCATTTCACGTGCTAACACGTGTTTGATTGATTGTCTTTTCTTTTAAGTCGTTCGTGCATCTCAAGCCGCCAATAAAATTTGTGCAGTTTATGGACCCGATGCAGTTTCCATTTCCACCGCACAACGATGGTTTCAACGTTTTCGTTCTGGTATAGAGGTGTTCGAAGATGCGCCACGCTCCGGAAGGCCTGTCGTCGAAAATTGCGATAATCGCTGAATTGGTCGAAAGCGACCGGCATATTGGCAGCCGTAGCATCGGTCAAGAGCTGGGCATGAGTAATATGAACAATTGAAAATTCAATAAAAATACCGCAAGACTTTTTTTGGACAACCTTTTATATATAATTGAAATGTATATATTAATAACTTGCATTTAAAATAATTTTCACAGCTAAACGAGTAACCAAGCAGCTAATACACATAAGTTTTATGGCACATTCATTCAGTAAAACTTCTGCACACATTCTTGCCCACAAAGGCATGTAGGTAGGTTTTACTCACCACCGAACAGTAAATTCTTGGAGATGTGAAACTCTCAAATGAAATTCGTAGAAAATTTGGAGTTGGGCGTATAACTAGTTAATATAAAAGAAAAATATTATTATGAAAAACAAAAACAAAAAATAATAATATTTAAGGTTTTAAAAGAATTTTCAATTATGGAACACTAACAATTTTACACGAACATGATTTGTAAACAAATAATTTTCTTTATTTTGTCATTTTAATTACTTTCAGCGACGCATGGAATGAAGTTTGCTGTTTATTTATTCGCAATTATATTATATTATAATTATGCACATATACATACATACCTAATTAAAGATTTTTTCCAATTACAATTCAAAACTAAAAATTAAAAAAAAAAATCCTTTAAAACATTACTAGTAATCGTAGTGAATATATCTGCATATAAATTGTATTGTATACCTTTAAGGCCACTTGTGAAACACTCGCGCATCATAAGTACGTGTGTACTTGATTTGCACATACATAGGAATATTGATATTCTTTATACATATATGTACACCTACTTTATATTTACGAATACTTGTGTCAAAGCATTATTCTCTTATCTTTAATAAAAATCAATAATTGTAACACTTTATCTTATTATTATTATTATTTGTTTTTGTTTTCGTTACACAAACTTATTAAAATAACAAGCGGAAATGTCACACCATTTTAAATATTTGCAGAAATTTTGAAATTCAGTAAAATGTATAAGAGTATATAATAAAGAATAAWATCAATTAAACTTAAAAGAACAAAATTTCATAATTTCTCTAGGATTYGTTGTTGCTTCTATAGCATAAAAGTTGTACACCTAAATTGTTTTGAGTTTGTTTACTCCTTTGGTATTGCAGCTACATTGGAGCGGTTTAATTTTTTTTCTTAATAAAGTCGGGYATGCGGCAAATGCAACTCGGATCATTCTGAACAACTTTGTCTAAGAGACTAAGGATCTAAAACCGGTTGCGAGCCAACGATTTTTAAGGCGAAATTTAAAAAATCAGTATTATCAGTTGTATGGGGGATATGTGATGTTGACAAATGTGATTTCGACAAATGATCAATAGATTATCAAAATCCACCTACGTACCTCGAGATATTCGGCTTTTTAAGTAAGGCTGTTGAAATTTTCATAGTTTTTTTTTTTACATACCATATACGAAATTTCTATAAGCCTTACTTAAAAAGTCGAATATCTCGCGAAGCATTAATGATAGCGATTTTGACCTCGGACCTTTTTTATGGCAAATAAAATGTCCTACAAGTTTGTCACGTACATTTTTTCTACAGCTCTTGTCATTTACGAGAAATGTACAAAAAAAAATGCGAATTTCGTGGAAAAATTTACTACCTCGCCGGTGTGAGTTTCGACTTCGTCGCAATGGGCACTTTTGTAGAGTGTTCAATTCTGAGGAATATGTGTCTAAAGTCAAAGCGATGCCATAAAACCCTCTTAGCTATAGAAATTTAAAGAGAAAAAATAACGATTGTCGAGTATTTTCAATGTAAAVTTTTTACGTACCTTGGTCTAGTCCTTAATGTTAATAATTAGGGCTCAAATTTTCAGGGAATTTATTTTAGGGTATAAAAAAAAACACTCTAATATATGTACATATATATATGAATAAATGGAATAACTGGACTTAAATGCCTAATTAACAAAAGTCCAGGATACACACTACAGTTAACTAAACATTTACGCTGGTGCCGTTGAATGCCRCTTCTTTTAAGGAGTTGTTAAGGGACCCAATCAGCGATAAATTCGAAAATGATAAAATGCAATGAAAAATCGAGAATTCAAATGAAATACTCGTGCGTTAGCAGAATAAATATTTTATAAAGAAAATTTTCCCTTTCACACGACACTCGGATCTACGTAACCGGAGAGAACCCGGGCTGTTATCCGGCTGAGAACTCTCAGCTCGGCAGAATTATGCTGCTACAAAAACAACAYACGCGAATTTCAAATGTTTTTCTAACAATATTCACTTTCAACTGAATTTTTATTAGGTAATTGCCGTTACCATCAAAAAAGGGGTCTCTCATCCGAAGTTGTTTTTGACTGTTCATTGGGTGCATTTTTTACGTGGCGGTTCCAAACCCAGCCCAAAACCCTGTGGAGCGTATGTTTTGCCTTCTTACTTTAGCTCACCTTCAAACGGATATTCTTTGGCTACCCAGAGGATACTTGGTTAAAGACCGAAAGTCGTGAGYTGTTTGAKCCATATGTAAAATAATCGGATAATGTAAAATAATCTGGAAACTCCCAAGTGAATGACAATCAGAGAAATTTACTCATTTACATGAACTTCTACACATGACTCCATCCTCCAATCGTTGGAGGGACCAGGTGGAGAAGAATTTGGCTTCGCTTAGAATCTCCAATTGGCGCCACCTTGCGAAAAGAAGAARYGACTGGCGCGCTGTTATTAACTCGGCTATAACCGCGTGAGCAGTGTCTACGCCAATTAAGAAGAATTACCGTTGCGCTACCGGAAGTGGCTTGCGAACCGCTAAAACAGCACATTTCAGTTTGACATTCAAGCTAGGTGACAAGTAGTCACTGAGGAAATGAGTGCATGCAAAAGAAATTTGGTCGAAACATTGACAATTTCCAGGCAAAATATGCTAATTAGATTTGGATTTGGAAATGCACTCAATGCTGCTGCTGTGGTAAGAAGCCAAACAAGTCGAAAAATATGCGCGTGTATAGTAGACATGTGGAAAGACGCTACGCTTGCAAGAGAAAAAACAGTTTAAATTGTTTACTTTGTTATGCTTAATATATACATATTTTTTGGAGTTGAAAATTGTTTTATAAAATATTTAAGGTYATCTTATAAACCTTGAAAGGTAGTTTATAAACATTATCTTGAAAATCGTAATTTTTATATTTTGAAATATATATGTAAGTAAATTCAAACAAAATTCTTACCTTAAAATTTGTATACCCAACAACACCTTCAATAAAAAAAAAACTTTTATTTTTGCAATTAATGGTACAGCATATAGTTGCATGTCTGCTGACTGCAACAGCAACATTCTGCAGCAATAAAAGCCCCCTTCTAATGCACGAAAAATGCATAACGAGTCAGGTGTAGCACTTCTACTTAGAATTTGAGTGTATTTTCATTGCATTCCATTCCAGCAACATTTAGCATACAGTTTACATTACTTTTTCATTGCAGTTTGCATTTTACTTAACAAATAATTCAATAAAAATCTAAATACCTTCCACAAAAGAGCCAACAAGCAGCATGAACGACTACGAGGATCAAAGTGAGATGCATACAAACATATTTGCCTATTCCTATTTGATACCAAGTACCATTAAATGTTAACTYCACTCTCGTAGGTGTCGTAAGCGAAGTGAGTCGCGGAAWGATGGCCGGTGGARGCGGTGGCGCCCATTATGGTCGCAACGAAAACACCACTTCCTTTGGTGCTGTAAAAGTTGGTGGTTGGCGATATGAGGACTCCACACGTTACATCGGTGAATGGGATCAGCGCGGCCAGAAGCATGGTATWGGTCATTTACAATTTCCCGATGGCACACGTTACGACGGCCAATTCTCCGACGGACTAAGTCATGGCCTCGGCTGTCTATGGTTCTCCGATGGCGCTAAGTGAGCTAGCAAATGTTTTAGAAAATTCGTATTCATACTTATTAATCGTGTTATTAGATACGAAGGTGAATTTATGCATGGTTGGTTCCATGGTCATGGCATATTTTGGCGTTCCGATGGCATGAAATTCGAAGGCGAATTTCGTGGTGGCAAAATCTGGGGACTCGGCTTGTTGACTTTTCGCGATTTCACAAACGGYTTTCCGCGCAACGAAGGCTTCTTTCAAGACTGTCGCCTGGTGCGCAAGCAACGCTGTCCGGACGTAGTGCAACGCGCGCAAAAATGTGCGCTTATGGCGCGTTCGCTCTGTGACCATCCGTATTAGCCTTAAGCATGCATGCACACATGTACAAAATATACGAATTAATAYAGCCACACCTACATACTTATTCGCATATGCGTATACAAACATACATATGTACGAGTACGTTCCCATATCAGTCGGTTCTATGGTACCGCAACGAAGTGGACTCCAACTGCTGGGTCCACAAACACACTACCAGATGTTTCGCAAAAAGTACACATGTTTTTGAAATGCCACTCACTCTTGTTATAACAAGGAAAATAAATAATATYCATATTATCGTTTACGAATAAACGTTGAGGAAATTAACCCAAAATATAATAAAAAAAACAGTGTTTTTTATTTGGGTTTCTAGTTAGTTTTCTTCAGTTCTTTGTAAAATGTGTTTATAAACTAAAATTGCTAATTTTTAAAAACACCTGTGCGCGCATACCATAAACAACATACATATACATCTATGTATGTATGTCCATATGAAATTGTCCGCTGTTTATCTATTTTATTGCTAAGGTATTGTACTTGTCTGCATAAACATTTAAGTATATTGTATCTAAAACAAACACAACACAGCAGGAAGGTGTATTCCCATTGATGTGACGGCATCCACTTGTMWATRTATTAATTGTCCTCGYCTGTGCCCACCAAGAACCAGGCATTGCGCGTACGCACAGCTGTGTTGCGAACCAARCGCTTATTATCGTCCAGCGCGGCGGCCAGTTCCAACACAACATCCAATTTATGTGTTAACAAGACATGCGTCGGGTATTTAGTAATGTCGTGTAGAAGACTTAAAGCGGATATACGAACTTTCTGCAAATTGAGAGGAAATCATTAGAAGTTTTTAATTACGGGAAGAAGGCGTTATAAATATTTATGTGAAATATAAAAGTTAACATTAAATATAAAACGTTAACATCGGTTGCACTGAAGCTATAATAACTTTCACAAACACAAAAATATCCATACAAGGACTCGATCTATCAGTTTGTATGGAAACCATATGCTATAGTGGTTGGATCGAGCAAGCGTAAATGTCTCTATATATCTCTTATACACATCTAGATCTATCAGTTTGTATGGAAACCATATGCTATAGTGGTTGGATCGAGCAAGCGTAAATGTCTCTATATATAAGACATATCACCATAGGGCTAGGGAAAGGTGTGGACTGAGTTAACCGGATTACGTATTAACTTTAAATTCGATATCTCTCACTCATTATGYAGAAGTGGGGTGTGGATTTTCAAAATAAAGCATAAGATGTATGAAATACACTCGCGCGACAGTCGCGCCTACGTAACCGAAACAGACCCGAATTTTCATCCGGYCAAGAACTATCAACTGACAGCATTACTCAAAATTATTTCCGGAAGATTTCCTGTCGTTAAAACAACAACAATATCAAGCGTGTCAAGTAAAAATAAATAAATACAATTAGRGGTTTCACATAGTCTCATAAAGTTATAAGTTATAACGATCCGAAAACAAAGCGTTCAGAGTTGTATTTGCGTAAACTCATTTTAGTACACAATGCAACAACAAATTTTAAACTAGTATAAATGTATGATTTTACGATGCTTTATTACACGTTGTGAGTAACCCAAATGTTTGGACAAGTTAATTCGTTGCATGGAGAAACGAAGAAGAACGCAGAGAGCTATTGTAAAATTAATGACTTTGGTATACGAATTTCACAAAAAAAAATTATACTTTATGTCTTTGTACTTACCATAGACTTTTGGTATTTGGACAACTGTAGACATCTCGGTATTAAATGACTCAAATGCCTGAGAAAGTATTCATCATGGATTGCAACGAAGTGTCCACAAATTTCCAGTGAAATGTAGAGCATTTCCGTGTGATCACAATCCAGCGATTTGAAAAGCAGTGGACCAACCTGTTGTTAGACAATTAGACCAATCAGGGTGCATAAAATTAAACTTGATTCAATTACCTTCTCGATGTTCATTTTCTGCACAATGTGCGGTGCACCTTTCAGCACAAAAATAAAAGCAATCAGGTAGTTTTCGGAATGTGCATTTAGCTTATTCTCCATCTTGGCCAATACTGTATGGAACAACTTCTGCTTGTATAGGATTTCGACCTTTGGTAAAAACAGGTCTTCACACTCCATTGCAATGATTTCGAATGCACGCGTTGCAACTGTGCCTAGGATAGGGTGTTCCAACAATTCTGTGAGCTACAAAGAAAAGGKTAATTTATGAAATTATACACTCTTTCCGATTACAGGCACTCACGATTTCAATMATTTCAGCCGCCAAGCCACTACCAGCTACAATAAGGCCTTTAGCCATCCACGCCAAAGTATGCACAGACAGTGTGTGGTCTTCTTTTATTTTGTCCTTCAGTTGCATCACTACCTTAGTCATATTACTATGATTTTGTTCATTGCCATCCATTCGATTAACTACACTGCAAAGCAACTGACGTGCAACAATATGCAATTTTTCCTTATCTTCACCCACTTCATTACCACTCAACGACTGTTGCGTCAACTCAGTTAGCAGCCATTCGAAAAAGTCATCCAGACTAATGTCCTGATGTAAGCGACCCAATAGGCCTTTGGCGACATACAAATGTGCGGAAGACTGTAATTGCAACTGCGGTAGGTATTCCGTGACAATTATATATTGTTCGGAGACGGACAAATGTTGCTCAATACGACATATTGCTATGGCGATTTGTTCCAACGCAGGTACACTGAGTGTTGACGGTCCCAAAGCCAACTCTATCAGCTTTGCAATGAGACAATTGTTGTTTTGCAGGTCGACGACTAGCCGTTCATCGCCGCTATTTAATAGCATGTTAACCGCTTCAAGCGCTAACAATTGATCATCTTGTGGTATATTTTGACCGAACGCATAATGCCATACTAAATCGAGTACACGTGATGTGAATGCCGCATGTATGRCCAGACGCAACAAGTGCCGGAATATTTTACGCTTTACGAAATTCGAATAAATGGCAAAATTTCGTATTAACACATCTAYGCAGTTGGATTGTACTTCAATTGGATATAAAGCGCCCAGCAATTCCAACAGTTCTATGCACTCCAACTCGAGTGAGTCATGTGTGACCAGCTGTATAAGTACTTTGTAAAGGAGAGCACGATTTTTTTCGCTGATTAATGGCACACTCTCGGTCAATACGCTGAGTGCGGCATTTTTTAAATCAATATTTTGCTGTTGAACATCAGCATCAATGTTAACACGGAGTACTGCTATAATATCCGTATGAATTTGATCGCATGTAGTACGATTGAGTTTCTCTAAACAATCTCGTATTGCAACTATTTTAAAAAGCTGTGCTATTATGTCGTAAACTTTAWGACATTGCTCTTCATTGTAACCAGCAATCTTGTCGCCCTCACCATCGTCACTTTTAGATTGTGTGTTTAGTTTCAATAAAAAAGTATTAAGTATGCGATCACTAGCGAAAAGTGGATCGCCGGATACACACACCAATGCAATGGCCGTTGATGGATTGTATAGGTGCTGATTGACGTCACTTAGGTGAGTTAAAATTGTACCTAGCACCTTAGTTTGGTAACTGTGACTGATGTCTGGCGTTTCATAGGCCTGCTCCAAAATAGTTCGCAAAAGAACAAGTCCAGCGGAGATAACATCCGAATTTCCGCCTCCTGGGAAAATTTCCGATTTCAACGCTGCCCAGATAACATCGAAATGTTCCGACATTGATTTAGATGTAAAATTTACTGCCGCTTTGCGCTGTAATTTTACCAATTATTGATTACACTAACTATAAGTATAATATACAATTTTACCAAAAGTTCTAACGAGTCCAATTTGGCCTCTACCAAATCGCTTTCCAGTTTGTCCAAAGCCAAAGGCACTAACCATTCGATGAATTCAGGGGATGCCACCAAACAATCCGATAATTTAGCAGCCAACTCATTGCGAGAAATATTGCTAGGATCCTCACGGCTCGGAGTAAAATCAATGGGGAAATAACAAGCAAAGATTTCAAACATTTCCTCGGCCAAATGCAACAGCGAAAAATGYTTGATCAACTCTGGCATAAAAGTAAATACAAAATCTAAATTACGTGGATCATGTTCTCCATCTATGGAATTTATCAAGCCGTACATGAAATCGCCACCCATTTCTTTAAGTTCTAAATTAAAAAACAAAAAACAATAACTTTTATAATGGTTAAGATAAAACTAATATAACTACCTTTATCATATCGCTGGGATGCCAACTGCAATATTTTGAACCACTTTCCACGTTCTCCTCGTTGATGCGACTGGCAACTACTGTGTTTAAAAAATGTGTTTAAAATTTTCGGTACACTTTCTGCAGGYAATTCCGTCATTTCCAACAAAGTATATATGCCCTCTATCACAGCAGGTAGCACACTGTGATGATCTTTCAGCCGATCCGTGTAGAAAGCTGTAAGGAACTCCAATTGTTTTGAATTAAGGTAATCCTTTGGCAACTGTTGCAGCATACTGGATAAAAGCTGTGTTCCTTTAATCCGTTGTTCTAAGGTAGTTGAAGTTAGAGCGAAGCCCATTTGCTCCACAACATATGATACATCATATAAGCCCATAACTACATCTAATCATGGGCAAAAACTTAATAATAATATACGATACACCATGATAAAGCACTTACTTTTACTAAGATTAGCTGCTGCCTGTTGCAATGCCGCTTCACTAACGAATGCTTTCTCTATACCATCCTGTGTTAAAGGTGTCATTTCAATGTAKCTTCAAGRGGYGACCGGAAGATTGTATAAGATTGGATTTATCCTTTTATTCACAGTAAATAAAAAAAAAATAAACTAATTTGTCCAAAGTGTGCACCAAATGTCATATGTGTTCGATATAAAGAATTAATCGTTAGAGATGTCAATTAKTTTATAGGAAAGTGTTTTAAAGTGTTTTTTCATTGTACACAAATACGACAGCACAGTTATTTGGAAAACAGCACGACTTCATGGGAGCTTCCCATTTCTAATTTTGGCGACGACAACAAAAGAATAAATAACAACAAAAGCATAAATAGCTCTGAAATATCAGTTGTAATGACAATTGTTAATGTAAAAAAAATAGCTAATTACTTATTTTTTGCACAAAAGGCATAAACGACTTATGCCATGGTGTACGCGGGTAAAAGAAAAATAGAATATTCCAACGATCTTGTGATTATAAAATGGAAAGGCAACACTGTCGGTAATAGCAGTTGACATTTCCTGAGAAGCTAAGACAAAGAATAAGAAAAAGAAACGAGAAGACAAGTAGTGAAGAAATATTACACCCGTTTATTTAACGGCGAAAATAAAATAAAATATATGGTTTAAATTAAAAATAAGTCTTAATTAGTATACTTAGAATAGTAATAAAAGTTTCAAGGTTAAAAGTGTATGAAAAAGGCGCGATCTAATGTCAATAACCGTAAGTAGAATAGGAATACTTCCGCAACTTCCGTATAAAGATAGTTTAAGAAAAACCAAAGACGAAAGTGAATAGTGGCAGGAAAGTCATTAAGCAAAAAGTAAAACAAATTGATGATTATTTTTAGGCATAATATATAGAATAAAGGTAGATAAGTAAAGGGTGGGGACATAAATCGTTTGCAATGATTCAAAGTGATTCCATTTATAAATAATCAATTAAATTTGAACAATAAAACTTTTCTTTTTAATTGTGTATATTGTTTATTGCTTTTTCTATAATTTGTCAACTTGAGCGACGTCTTATAGCTAACACTCTCCGAGTCTCACTTTCCATTTTTGCTAACTAAGATTTTATACTTCTATTTACTTTCGCAATATAACATTGATGGCTCATTGTCTATAATGTTATATTAACTCCGTCCATGACGCCGCTCTGCTCTCACCATTGCTTTGTTCAACACGGCCTTTTTAATTTGCGTGCATGCGTGCGTGCTTTATACTACATTAGCTTTTACGAGGTAGGAAGCAAAAGACGAAATCTTGTGTAGGAATGACCGTGATGGCCAAAACTTCAATTGTGGAAATATGTGAAAACGCAAAGCTGGCGCGGGACATGGCCTATACCGGCAACTATGACTCTGCTTGCATATATTATGAAGGACTAGGTGGCATGTTGGATCGCATGGTTAAATCTACRAACGATTCACTGCGTAAAAGCAAATGGAAATTGGTAAGTTATTAAAACCAATTCGAAATGAATCAATATTTGAATAGTTTCATTGCTTTACAGATAGCTCAGCAGATTGAAAAAGAATACTCGCAAATTAAGGCCATACAGCGAACTCTATCAGAAATGACACTAGATTTGCAGAACACACCTTTCGCACATAAATTGAAAACACAAGTCAGTGAAGATGAAACAAAAGATCCATCAGCTTGGTTTCGACCCGATCCCGACATTTGGACACCGCCTCCTAAAGATCCAGATGTTTGGGGACCGCCACGCTTGGAAAAGTATATATTTTTAGATTGTTTCACCACACATTTATAATAGAATATACTTATATATTATAGACCCGCAGTGCCAAATAGAAGCCGTAGTGGTATACCGAACAAAAAAGCTACTGCCGGCGCTGGCAAAAGCATAATACCACAACGTAATGCCGCAGGAGGTGCCACTACTAGACGTACCATAGCTGGGAGTGGTGGAAACAATGCACGCGCGCAGCAGAACGGAAGATCGACGTCATCAACATCGAGCAGAAAAACAACACATTCAAGCAATGGAGTTAGTAGTAATGCGGCAAGTGGTGCCGATAATGTCGGTAACAAAGACGACGAAAGTCGTGATGAAGAGGCGGCGGAAAATGAAGAGAAGGAGGAGAAAAAATTTCAACCCAGTACACACATGGAAGCTGAACTGGTAGATATACTTGGTGAGTATGAAATTTTGTTTTTCCATAAACTTAAATAAACAAACAATTTTTTTTTTTTTTTAAGAACGTGATATACTGCAACGCAACCCTAAGGTGCGTTGGAACGATATAGCTGACCTGCACGATGCTAAACGTTTACTAGAGGAAGCGGTCGTGCTGCCGATGCTTATGCCTGACTACTTCAAGGTAAAAGCAGCTTTATAATATAAACAAATAGAAACAACACTTTGCTGCTTCGTTGTAAAGATCGAAGTTTGTGTTAATCTGAAATTCAATTTTCACAATTTTTTTCTTTTTTTTAATTATTATCAAATTTCTGTAGGGCATCCGACGTCCGTGGAAAGGCGTACTTATGGTTGGTCCTCCGGGGACGGGTAAAACAATGTTAGCTAAAGCAGTGGCAACAGAATGCGGCACAACATTTTTTAATGTATCATCTTCAACACTTACATCTAAATATCGTGGAGAATCGGAGAAAATGGTACGTTTATTGTTCGAAATGGCGCGATTCTATGCGCCAAGTACAATATTCATCGATGAAATTGATTCACTTTGTTCACGGCGTGGTTCTGAATCGGAACATGAAGCCTCACGCCGTGTGAAGTCAGAGCTGCTGGTGCAAATGGATGGTGTGGGCAGYGAAGAGGCTACGAAAGTCGTCATGGTATTGGCTGCTACGAATTTTCCTTGGGACATAGATGAAGCGTTACGCCGTCGATTGGAAAAACGTATTTACATACCGTTGCCAACTGATGAAGGGCGTGAAGCATTGCTAAAGATTAATCTGCGTGAGGTTAAAGTGGACGAAAGCGTAAACTTGTCCGAAATCGCTAAAAAATTAGAGGGTTATTCTGGTGCTGACATTACCAACGTCTGCAGGTGGACTACATGAAACGAAATTATATAGAATTATTGTTTACATTTCTGTTTTTCTATTAGGGATGCTAGTATGATGTCAATGCGCCGAAAGATAGCTGGTCTCACGCCGGAACAAATACGACAATTGGCCACAGAGGAAGTAGATCTTCCTGTTTCGAATAAAGATTTCACAGAAGCCATTAGTCGCTGCAATAARAGTGTTTCAAAAGCGGATTTGGAAAAATACGAAAAATGGATGAATGAGTTTGGTTCGTCATGATGACGGAAGTATTACCGCATTTGCTGCAATTAGTAGCATTTTAATTACAAATAACTATATAATTTAGATACTGAAAAGGCGTACGTTTAGCCAAACATGGCTGTAATGAACTTGATTTTGAGTAGCATAGCTAGAGAAGTGTTGAAAGAGTTATATAATATAAATTCGAAATTAAGCAACAAAAAGAGATCAACTTTATAAAATATTAATAAGACTAACAAAAACTTTATTAAGAAATAAAACTTTCAATTTACAATTAACAGAAGCCGTTAATGTCATTTTATACCTGTATTTAAATTTAATAYATAAAAACAATCTCGCGTAGTTTTCTTCAATTTGTAAATAATTTTATTTAGTAGTGCCTAAAATGTATTATTATTATTTATTTTCTGCGACTCGTAGCCATTTATCACTACGTAACATTTTAACAATACTATATATTTAAAAATGAGATATTTATGTTTAAAGGGAACTGCTACTTAATTATCCCCTTTTAATGTATGGCGAATTCGCAAATTTAAAGGTAGTGTTCGGCAGCTGGACTTGATTACTAGTAAGGACGTGGTGGTGGCATTGGCATCATCGGCCCTAGTGGGTACGGCACACCACCACCACCCATACCGGGTACACCTGGTGTCTGATAAAATCCACTATTTGRTAGCAGAGGATTACCACGTTGTGGCGTTTGCGTTTGCCTGCGCATTAACTCTTGCATTTTCTCAGCTTTGAGTTTCCGTAAGTGCATCATTTTGCGTGTAACAAGAAAATCGTCTAGGAAGGCCTCCACGCCGATTTCATTGTCTGTGAATTGTTTAATTAAAGCGTCTGTTGCCTCTTCACTTTCAGCAGCAGCTGTTTGTATCAACGCTAAAGCAGTTTCTTGGCTAACGCTACCCGATTTTTCTTTCACTTCGGCTAATTTCTCCTGTACAGCTTGACAAGACTTTTTCGCCTCCTCCATCAATTCATTCACTTTTCCACGCAATTCGATGATTTTAGGTTCTTTTTCAATATTGCTCTCGGCCTTGGACCGATTTTCGATGAGTAAGTCGTCCTTTTGGGTTTTGAGGTTTTCCAGTACTACACTCACTTTCTCATCTAGCTTTTCGTCATCGTTGAGTAAATCCTTGAGTTCGTCTGATGAGAGAGGRGCTATTGATGATTGCAGCTGATTTAAATACTCTTGGTACATTTTATGTTTTGTTATCTGCTAGAGGTTACTTTAAAATGCTTCACTTATTTAAATTATGTTCGTTCTTTTAGGTGTTATTATTTACTGTAAAGCTATTTTTCTAATTGCGACTTATGACGGGGCTAGTAAACTCAATCATACTTGTCAAAAAGTCCAAAGGAAATTTCGACTCAGAACTGCCAGCCTTATTGAGCGATTTAAATAAATAATATTTGAAATAAACATTGCTCAAATATTGAAATCCGCTGATATAGTAATATATTTTTGAAAATATTATAACGATTAGARAAAGATCAGGATGACAACAATAGTTTATATGTTCTAAACCAAATATTAATAGCATTAACTTAAGCTAATCTTTGGTGGAATATGAAATTTCGATTGCAARGTTGGCAAGCCGAAAATTTAGGATTGTAGAACGAAATAAATGACTTCCACATTCGGTTACATGTTGGTAATTCACGTTGGCAATGCTTTGCAAACACTTCCATTAGCGTGCGCCATTTTGATATATTCGTGTATTTCGGCGTAATGCATTTGAATGAATATTTTAATAAAATACACTAGTTTAAAGGGCGAAAAAGTGTTAAAAATGTTATTGAAAGGTGCAGAAACAAAAAGAGTRAAAAAGTTGTTTCGAAATGTTAATAGTTTGAGTAAAAAGTGTGTTTAAAGAAAAGGACCGTATCGCAAGTGAAAAATTTTCAGACGACTACATAAAAATTTGTTCGTGTCCCGAAAGCCAAGCGTTTCTTCGGTCTCGTGTATTCCACTCATATAAAGGAAAAAAGAAAATCGAAAATTTCCAACTTTCCCCGTGAAAAACTGTGAAAAAATTCAAARACTTTAATAGCGTAATGATTATAGAAAATCTAGAAACCTATTACAGGAATGGGATGGTTGAAAGTGAGCAAAATATAGCAGTGTATTTGAGTTGGTTTTGAAAAATTGAAACTGTTTATGTGAAAGTGATTACTACTAATGGATATGAAGAGTTTTGCAATCGTTTTTAAACACTTCATATTCCAATAGTTTAAACGAGCAAAGATAGGCAGGTGCGGCTAGATACAAAGTTTGCCTGCCATTAAATATATCATACAATTGTTGGATTATTTCAATGAATCGTCTGCGCAAACATTAATTGCCGAACAGCCTCCGGGTGGAGTCCTCGTCATAAGTTTGATATAGCTTGGAGTATAGAACTTGGAAGAGGGGTTTACACTACCCTCGTTTCCACATTAATTGCAAAATTAAGTAGAGAATAAAAGTAGTTGGTGCCGACATTACGCACTAATAAAAGTCATCGACGAATTGAAAAGTGAAAAAGAAGCAGACGAAATAAATGCAAGGCATAGACAGAATAAGCAAAAGAAAAGAAACTCGTTGTGTTTTCTTTTTAATACAACGTTCGCAGTATAATCGCTTGGCAGAAGTGAAGCAATCATCGAAGGTGGTCATCGTAGCTGTATGGTAATTGTTATTGCAATCGTCACTGTGTACTTATTTATGTCTCCCTCACACCTATTGGCGAGTAATGGTAAAAAAGCCGCATGCGAGTAGGATACATAGAAAGTGAGTAGGGAACAACGAAAAACAAAACAAAGTACGCAAAGAACAGAAACAGATATTAAAGTCAAAAACGACGAATAATAGGAAGAAGCAGATTGTGAAAAGTAAAGCAAGACAAWGCAAAGTAAAAACAGAGCTGTTGTCTTATTCGAAATGTTTTTGTATTGAATTGGTGAAAATCGCTGGTGAAAAATCATGAGTGTATCGTGAATACAACCAAACGAAGAAGTGACAAAGTGGAAGGGAAAAGCCGTATACAGATTGTTGGTGATTATTCGGACAGTTTTTGTTACACATCTTTTCAGCACAAACACCGTAGAACAGCATTGCACTGTAAACTCTACACTTTCGGAAATTTTGCCTACTTAAAGGAATATTAATTTTACAGTGTTTTCTGCTTCAAGATTTGGACATATATAATTTTATGCGCGACGTTGCAGTGATGATATAAATGCGTAAGTATCTCAATCCAAATCACATCTTGAAATATCTATTTCCTTTTGCTGATTAAGAAATCAAAGCAAAGGCTATACGTTAAGTGCCAAATTAGTTTTGAGGTGCAATTACGTTTATTTAGGATAATTTCAATAATTTGCATTTTTTCTTACACAAGGCCCAACAGAAAATTTAAAAATATGTAAACCAAAAAYATTCACCAACTAAAGTAAATAATTAATAAGAAAGTAACACATCGATAATGATCAATAATTCATTTGAATTTAAATATTAATTAATAAGCATTAAATTTAGTTTATTTTAACTTTTATTTTAAAAGATTTCGTCTTTAAGAAAGTCTTTAAATTAAAACTAATATGCCTCGTTAGTATAATTCCACATGTATTGCTATTAAAATGCAACACTGAGTGCGCGCTGCAGCAACGAGTTGTTAAGTACTACGATATTACGACGTATGAAACGAACCGACTGCTGCTGAAAATATGTTGTTTTAAGCTATCCAAAGTAAAAAGTCCGGGAACCATACGAATATACGTACGTACTTTCGACTCGTTGTCTCGATTGCTTAGTGCGAATGCATGGGAAATTAGTGATTTTACCTTGGAAATTGTGGGAATTAATTTATAAAATTCACCATATATTTAATTAAATATATAAGCTTGTTTTATGTGAAAGTAAAATAAAATAAAATTTGCTCTGTGATGTGTAAAATTAAATTAAAAATACGAGTTACCAAAAATCATTAAAATCATATTTTCGCGTTGCACAAAATCTCACAGAAGTATCTGCTGTGCAGTCGTGAGTGTGACAAGCAAAACGATATGTTTTAATGCGTACGTATAGTGAATGAGATAGAAAGAGATAACTATAATGAAGGCACGATAACACAGCACAACAACAACACAACGTTACGAACACAGCCATTGAATGAGAGCGTGTTTACCACAGCCGTTGTCTTCTACCAGGTTGCCTGGTTGTCGCAACTACGAAAGTGGGAAGAAGTAGTAGGTTAAAAGAAGTTGTCACGGGTTGCTGAGCGGTCTAGAGGAGAATAGTGGAAGAGCATTCTCGCGGTAGGGTGGTGTGCTGCGCTTAGCTATAGCCTGCCATATTGTGTCGATTCACATTCGTTCTCTTTATATCGTATTCCTGTCTATTTCTACTACTATTTTATTGTTGTTGTTGTTGGATAAATGTTGAATGTTTGACGTTGTTATATCGCGGCCGTGTCGTGTCGTTTATATCGTTCACAGCCCTCGTCAATCGCTACTGATTCCGATGTTTCTCTCTTATTTTATTGACTTTTTTCTTTGCACTATATCAACGATTTACTCCTTCTACCGGCCACATCATGTAAATACATTTGAAAAACTGTATAAAAAGCACAATTGAAAAAATAATACATATTCACATTTGCACTTGGGGTGTTGGCAATTAAACCAAATTTCGGAATTAATACATATTACTCGGTGCATTGAAGTATACACATGCCTCGACGAGCATCGAACCAATCGAATTGAGCAGCAATAGAAGCTATTTTATTGAAAAATGATTTCCAGAGATATATTTTGTACTTACCATTAAATATTAGGTTACCAGTTTTCATTTAGTGTGAGTAAAATTCACGRGAAAGAAAAGTTTATTAATATTGTTTAACTCGCACAGTAATTATATGAAATATATGCATAATATTTATGTTTAGGTAAATTGATATACTATATATATCTTTTATGTTGAACGTTCAAACTACTGTTATAAATATGTACTAACTTCCCACAATTTTATGTCCGGTTAGGTTCATATCTTTTTGATTCAATTAAAAAAACACTAAATTTGGTCAGAACAAATTTTTAAGTTTTAGGATCCAGATATGTACGAATATAGTTAACATAAATTTTTAATTTTAAAATACTAATTCAAATTTATGAGATACGGTGGTACGAACGAACATATGCAGTACACATTTGTAACAATTCCAACTTTTGAAATTCTAAATTTTTCATACATTGTATCAATTGATATTTCTTTATGTAAAACATTTGCAATATTTCAGTTTGTGTTTGAGCAATAGTCTCAAAGTTCACAATTAAAACCGGTCGTACCATAAGCGTTTATTTATTTATTTATATACATATCTATTATAAACTAAGTTTCTTCTTTTTTATTCCCATATTTTCATTCTATAAACCTTTAATTTTTAACACAGATAACTCAGCAGTGCAGTTGCAGCGGCCGTTGACGGAAACTAGAAGCCTCTTACAACAGCAACTGCAAAAATTATATACACCTGGGATTGAGTCAAATAAGTAATGAATGAGAAAATAAAATCACCCTCTGGGCAGGGTGGTGCCGCTGGCGGAGGAGGGGTAGGCCCACCAACCGGACCCAGTGGTCCAGTTGGATCTGGCAGTACTGGCAGTAGCGGTAATGGTGGGCCAGGTGCTGGTGTCCCCGGTGGTCCAACTCCACTTAATTCAGCCATAGGCGGTGGTCCACCCAGTGGTGGTCCACCGGCGCCTAATAACGGTAATGATCCACAACAACATACAATTCCGCATTCATATGGACCACCTGGCAGTGATCCAGTTGCTGCAATATCACATTATCATATGCATCAACAGCAGCATCCACAACAACACTTGTCTCACCAGCAGAGTGGCCCCGGAGGCCCTGGAGTCCCACAAAACCCCGGTGAGCATCCACAAAAAGACGAATACGGTCAAGGTCCTTTGGGTGGACCGCCACCTCCACCTACTGGTGGACACCATCCCGTTTACGGACGATATCATCATCCAGATCCAAATATTGATCCATACCGCTATGGGCATTCGCCTATGCAACAGCCACCTCCTGGAGGCAAACCGCAACAACAACCGGGACCGCCGTCTGGACCGGGTGGCGGTATAGCCTCTCCCAGTCGACCACCACAGCAAAGATATATTCCCGGGCAGCCACCGCAAGGTCCTACCCCCACATTAAATTCTTTATTACAATCGTCACATCCACCGCCGCCACCACAACATCGTTATGCAAATAGTTATGATCCRCAACAACAGCAGCAACAAGTGGCGCAACAGCAACAACAAGGCGGACCACATGGACCGCCGCCTCCACCACATCAACCATATGGAGCGCAACAAGGATGGGCGCCACCACCACGTCCATATAGCCCACAATTAGGACCGTCGCAGGCCTATCGAACGCCACCACCGGTAAGTGCCGAGTAAAAATGTATAAAATTAATAGTTCAGTTGGTATTACATAATTTCTTAAATGAAAGTCCTTTGGTAGTCGAACATGCATTGTGCCCTATATATTTTTGTAGTTCTAGCCATTCATTGGGCTTCAAGGTTTGTAGGTTTAACCTACAATACTATGGCACCAGTGAAGAAGGGAGAGGGAAGTTCAAAGACAATTCCTCATGGTCCCCGGAGGTCTCGACAGGTTTTATCCTTCTATAATGCACCATAATGCCTTATGAAAACATAACAACTATTGTACTTTTAATTCTACATGATTGATTGGGTAGAACATGTTTTTTAAGTTTTAATTTATGTGGAAACGTGCACAATGATTTAATCCATCCCTCAATAGTTAGATTTATCATAGAAAATTTTAGTAAAACCTTTTAGTACCAAAATAACACTTCACCTGACTAAAACAACCGGCGGAATTTAGAAAAAATGTTTGGATGTTAACAAACAATAAACGTCTAGCTTGATGCTTTTCTAGTTGGGGTATCCCAAACGCTTACTCATGCCAACGCTATTTATAGTTATGTATGTGCATATACGTTCGTACATACTTAAATACACAGTGTATGTAGGTATGTATAAAAATATGTAAAAATACGTCGAGTCGTACCCTCGCGTTTTATTCATTCATACTGTCGTTCGAGTTGAGCAAAATTTGCCGCCTTAAATCATCAGCAAGGGCAACATGGCACGACCAACAACAACTGGTAAACAAAATAATCACAACAAAAAATATAAAAGAGTATTTATAATACGAACAGAAATCAAAAGGAAAACAAACAATTCACAGAGTGTATAAATATGCAACTACATCTATACACACATACATTCATATGTATGTAAATGCAGATATAAATAAATAAATACAAACATGCTTACATAATAGTATGAAAATTTGTTCTACGTGGGTACTAGTAAGGACGGATGTAGCCGTTCGAATACAATTACCTATAGATATGTACCTATGAACAAACGCGTGCCTAGTTGGGCTGTTCAGCGGTCAACGTCACCTTACATGTTGTTTTATAACATACAAATTGACATACAGACCGTATGATATAAGACAATCTTGCCAACATACACACGGACAAATATAGAGCGCTAAATATTTTGTGTTTTTGTTTTTGCATAGTCGTCGTGTATGCACAGCACTTGCCACCGTAAATATGTATATAAAGGTACATGTGTACAAAAGTGTGTCAATAAACGTTTGTCGTTTTCATGAATGAAATAATAAAAAAAAAACGGAAAACATCAACCAGCGCGGCGGCATCTTTTACCCAACCAACAAGAATAACACAGCCTTCATTCACATCAAAAAGGCACACAACAAAATGTGATATAAAATCTTTAAGGTTCAAGTTAAGTTGAGAGTGTGCTAGTGGAGTAACCAGGCCAAGCCATTTAAAGCCAGACAACATTTCAACCGGCATGAGTTTAATTTCAGCCACGATTTAAAGGGATACACAGATGGTAAAAGTGTACCACCATTGACAGGAGGTGGAGGTGAAGTGACTGCGTTTATGGTGACTGGCTGCCACACTTATTCACGTACATGCACATGCTTTTATACAAGCGTTATTTATATATTATATAAGATGAAGTATTTTTGCTCCACTTTTTTTTTTTGTTTGGATGCCTGGTATTGTTTTGCCTCCAAGCGCACTGCTATCTATACAGTTAAACCGATTTGGTGCTCATACATACATACATACATTTTTACTTATGTGCCGGCTGTGGTTGTTCTTATTGTTGGCCGCAATATAGACAACTCTTTATGTGCATGGACATTGTATAGGAACTTTCTTTGCTCTGCTTTATACTTCTTTAATTGTTTACAGCGATAGCTACAGCCCTGTTTGATTTGAAATGAGTGAATGCTGAATTGTGGGCACTTAATTTGCCTAGAACATAAGAAATGTGATTTACCTACAGTTGATAGGGATTTTTGTTTGTTCATTTTTGCTATCCTTGCAACAGTATAACTAAATAATTTCAACCTTGTACTTATAAAATCTCTGTATATTTGAAAGGCTTAAAACTTATATGACAATAAAGCTGCACAAGTATACAAGCCATCTATTACGAGTATATTGTTAGGATAACAGAGTTGCCTGTTTTGTATATTTGTTGTTGTTATTGTTCCGACCGAAAATGTTATATGTAGATTATTGGCTTTAACTCTATCTATGCGCCATTCGTAGTAATACAACTTTTGTTAGGAATTTTGAAAAAAAAAATTTAGGCTGTGGTTTTTATATTGGTAAAATTTTGCAGTATAGTGCTCAGATGGATGTGTCTACAGTTCCAGTTATAGACTTATATGTACATACATATATACCTGAAAGTCTTCTGAATCACTTGACTAAAGAAAGTGAAATGACTTTATGTATTTAAACGCACGTGCCAAACACGTTTCTGTTTTTACTTAAAAAGTGGTGGCAAAATAACATTAAAATGTGTAGAATGTAGTCAAAACATAAAAGTGTACACCATACTGTAGACTTTATTATCGCATAGAGCCTTTTGATGCCCTTTATACATATACACATATATTATATATTGTTGTAGTTAAATTTTCGTACAATGTTGTTATTGTTGCGGTAACTCATCACGGTTGATTAGACGTGCCTACAGACGTGTATTTACTTTTTAATATTTTTTACTTTGCGCTCACAAAAAATACAAACACAACATGAGTGTGTGCATTTGTACATATATTTTCATATATGTATGTATGTAGGTTATTCTATTTTATGGGCATAATGTTTGTCATTCAAGAGTTTAGGGCTGAGTGGTCCTGATATTCTTTTGTTATTAAGTGTGAATTTTCAGCAATTCAATTGTCAAATGTATACTTATATAATATATTTATATGCATAAAAATATGTATACATGTGTGTGTGTTTTAGATTAATACTTTTAATGATTGACAAATTTCCCTTTTTATGATCTGCGATGCATACAAATTCCAATTTTATGCAGCTGAAGAAGATTTACGTTTTCAAATACTCGTATATTGGGTCAAGCTTACCTCATTTCAAAATAGAAAAGCTTTTCATACAAGAACTATTTTTTAATTTTGATCCTTCAGGTTCTATGTCAGCTGTATGGAATAGTGTTCCGATGGTGGCGGCTCCGAGAAATGAGCAGCTTCTTCGGAAGAATGAAAAAAGTAGACAATTTTAGATTTGTAGAAACGCAGCAAAAAAAATTTATTTTTCTATATTCTGTATGTACAGGTCCAGGAGATATTAAAATTATTTTTTATAGTTCTTTCTTACTACAATCGCAGATTGCTTTAACAGYTGTTGCAATATTACTTTTGTTGTTWACAAGTGTGTAGCATGGTAAATTATAACAACAAAGGCGAGAACCGAACATACTTGTGTATATTTAAACTGTTATGACCCAGAAAATATAGAATATCTCGAAATAACTTTGAGAAACTGAAAAAATGCACAAACAAGCAATAAAATAATGCAAATGGAAGGAAGTGGTAAACATAGAAAAAGTAGTGAGGAGCGCACCGCCAAGAAGTCACTGCAGTCACCACCAATGCAATGCAACAAGGCGCATCATTAAAAACGCTCCTCTCGCTTCTCACTCACTCTGGCCTCTACCGTTGTGTATCTCCTATATGTAGCAACACACAATCGCATACAAAGCGCTTTAAGACTGCGGCATCGCTGCCGCATTTCACAAAACTTGTAAAATCGTAGAATAAAACATTTGCTATTTTTGTTTTCACATTTATTATTGTTGTTGTTGGTGTTATCGTTACGCGACCGTTTTTGCCTCGTTTCAAACAGAACAATTGTGTGCTGCAGCATTGTAATACTATTACGAGCTCGAGCACCGGCTGTGCACGAATAATGCAAAAATATAACAAAAACAAAAGGCTCAAAACCAAAAGTGAAATCTTATTAAAAGAAAAACAATATGAGAAATAACTTTACCACAGCGGCAAGCGCCACATTGGCCTCATTTTATTTTGTGGTCGATAGACACAAAAATTAATATGCACACAAATCTACGAGAATGACTTACACTGGCACGGCATTTTGACTGATATTGAAGTGGACACGGTTTGCTCAATATCATTCTAATAATAGCTTTAAGTCACTGTTTTAAATGTTGTAAGTGATTTTCAAAACCTTGCACAGGTGCATTTCGTATCCAAAGCTATTCTTTTTCACTTCAGTTTGTTTGGCAGCWATATTCAATAGTAGTCCGATTCAAGGTATATGCACGCAGATTTTTGCCTTACCTTATACAATAGTCATTGCTAAAATTCGTCAAGATATTTTGTCAAATTAAACAGTTTCCAAATTTGATTTTGATATGTCTGTTTCATGTCGCAAATATGTGCTATAGTTGTTCGATATTGATTATTTCATCACGGTGATGTTGCTCGAACGAAAGTGGAAAATTTCAGATCGATATCTAAAAAAATTGAAGGGCTAGTTCGCGTATAAACATTCAGGCATGACCCTTTTCAAAGTATAAGGTCGAGCGATTGTTATTTTACAAAAATTAAAGTTTGCGAATACTTTTTTTTATTAAAAGTTACAAAACGTCTTACATCAGCATCCGACTT